TCGTAAGAATGATGAAATCAACATATGTACTAAAGTGCTGGACACAGATGACGTATGTACAGACTGTGATAAGCTGTATGAGCCCCTAATAAAATGATTAATTAAAAAAAATTTCCCTAAAGATTTGTAAGTAAGTACCAGTAAATGCACGCTTATCCTACATATCGGGTAATCTGCCTGCGATGGAAAAGCAAATTCTAAGGATCATAATGGCACATTTAATTTTGTTTTCCTAAATTGTCTAATTCACAGCCATCCTAGGCAATGAAGTCAAAGTGGGCTCTATTTTGGTTATCTTCACCTCTTATTACAGTAAACAGAGTCCACGGGACGGTTTACATAAGGAGATTTAATTACATCAGGAGTTAATTTTTTCGTATTTAATTTTGCCATGCTTTTGAACCTGATACCAAATAATAAACAAACCCCCCCCCAAATACCCAAAGCTACTTAAAGATTCTATAATAAATTGAGAACCAGAATATAGATTCTTTAGAAAAGAGAGCATGTCAGTGTCTCACTAATTAAGTTTTGATTAAGCATTGTGCAGCCAAGGTAATATGTGCTTACAAGTTCTAGTGCTCTAAATTATGAGTCACAACTTCCACATAACTGGTGAGCATCAGAATTTGCCCCTCCTAGACATGCAGGTACCTGTTGGTCTGAATTTTATGTTCCCTGAGGAGGCCCACTTCCTCTTTAGCCTTCCTCAGAAGAGCTTGTTTGTTTTCAAATTCGGATGACTTCATATAGTTTTCAATTCTCTGGTACTGAGTATCTGAGAACCGTGCTAACGAGAGAAACGCCTTTGTTTTTCCATTTCTCAGCTCATCACTGCTTCCTCCATCGTAATTTCCAACAACTTCCACTGCCTTCAAGAAAACACAACCCATTTTTATTTTTACAAACACAAAACAGAGTCACTCAGATCAAAGTCATTCTCACTGAAGTTTTAGAATCTATGTGTATACAGATATGGATAACCTGGAATATATATGAAGTACAGTATTTTGTCAATTTTTCCGAATGACTTTGTGACAAAATACCAAATGAGTTAGTAACTATAAAAACCAAACTCACAGCAACCCTGTAGGGCCTGGCAGAACCAACTGCCCATGAGTTTCCAAGACTAACTCTCAACAGAGCAGAAAGCCCCATCTTTCTCCCACTGATAGTTGTGAAGGTCGGTGCAACACGCAAAAGGAACTTGAAATTATTTTTCTTTAATCATGCTGATCCTGTTGTTGTCGAGAATATACACAGTAAAACACCAACCAATTCAACAGTCATCACATGTGCAATTCAGTGACACTGCTTTTATTCCTGACCTGGTGCGACCCGACCATCTCTCTCCTTTGCTGAGTGGTTCCTTCCGGCTGGTGTTAGGTGCTACCAAGTTGGTTCCAACTCAGAACCAAACACCGCCCAGTCCTGGCCCGGCCTCCAAACTGTTATGTTTGAACCCACTGTTGATGAACCTTCTTCCAATTCTGATGGCATCTTCGACACACAATCCAGCTTCTCTGATGGTTTGCTCAGCATACAGATGAAATAGGGATGATGAAAAGATACAACCCTGACGCACACCTTTCCTGGTGATAAACTATGCAGTGTCCCCGTGTTCTGTTTGCACAACTGCTTCTTGGTCTATGTACACGTTCTGAATGAGCACAAGTCGTTTAGAATGCTCATTCCTTGAAATGCTATCCATAGTTTGGTAAGATCCACACAGACAAATGCCTTTACATAGTCAACAAAATGGAAAGAAACATGTTTCTGGTATTTTCTGCTTTCTCTGGTATTCTCTGATGTCAGCAATGATCCCTCTTTCACGTCTTCTTCTGAAACCCACTTGAATTTCTGGCAGCTACCCATCAATCATCTTCAGCAAAATTTTACTTGCATGTGACAGTAATGGCATTGTTCCCTCCTAATTAACATAAACTCATTCCCCTAAGGTACCAACTAATGTTTTGAGATGCTCTTGTCAATTTGCTCTGATATTAACAGTTCTTATAAGAGCATAATGCCCAGGCGAATCTTCTTTCCTAAATGAACTAACCCATTGCTCCGTGTGAAGAAGACTTCCGGGGGTATTGTTGGTTTAAGTTTAGATATTTGGTATAAAGCTAAATATTATCTCAGGGCAAAGGCTCTTTGAAATCTAAAGGCATTGGCAAACAAACAAAAAATAAATGAATATAATATAAAAATTTTAACCCCCCCCCAACATGTTTTATAATTTTTAAAAATAAAAAATAAAACCATATATATAATAATAATAAAATCAGATTGTGCTTTTCTTGTGGCAATTTCCAAAATTAGTTAAGCTAAATGGATACAAGGGAGAAAAAGGAAAGTAGAAATGGTTGAAGTACTAAGGCCCAAGCCCTACTTATTTACACAAGTGTTTAGGGTACAAATGAATGCTGTTGCTGTTGTTAGCTGCTGCTGTGCTGGGCGTGAACAAAACAAAGTCTTACCTTTTCCAGATAGGTCTGCATGATGACTGAGGGGCTTTCTAAGCAAGTTTCTGCTAACCAGTTGCCACAAACCCTCAAGCATTCCGTGTACAGCAGTTTGAGGGTGGGTTCCTTCAGTATAAGAAAAGCAGAAATTCAAAATATAATTCATTCATTATCAGAGGTTTACAAAAGGTCCTCCAAGGACAAAAGGCTAAAACGTTTTTCCCTCATCAGCTTTCACCAGACACCTTTAAAATTTTTCCTAGAATGCATGTAATTATCTCATACTGCTGCTTTTATTATTACAGCTATTGAGCACTTATATATGTCAGCCCCTTTCTCATGACTTCATGTATATTTACTTAGCTAATCCTGAACAGAACCCTCTGAACAGACTTCCAATATGATCCTCAGACTAGAAAACTTAGGTGGCAGAGAGGATAGGTACGTGTAGCTAGCTTGACTCCAGGTTCCAAACTGTGAAGCAATAATTATTACATGTTAGCTCCCAGTACTTTGGTATAATAAGTAATCTTTAATAAAGAAGATTGTCATGAACGTTCCCAACATCCAGAAGTAGACTCAGTTGATAGTCCCTAAACAGTGTAAGTCACAGAAACCCCACTACCATGGTCAAACCTTTGAACCCGCGATTGCTTTTGAAAGTGCCTCTACTGTATCCATTGAATACTGGTAACAGAATTACAGTAGCTGTACAAGTTAGCAGCAATTGATGGGTAATGTTAGAGAAACGACTGAATGTACGATTTTCAAAGATTTGACTAAGTTGTCCCAACTTCCTTCTTTTTTTAAATTTCTGTCCTCTCATGTTTTACTCTTCAGTTTTCTGATCTGCACTGTCAAATTTACAGTGGCTGTTTCGTATTTGTTTCCCACATACCCTCTTTGAAAGTGAAAAGTAGTCAACAATGGACCACATGATCAAATCTATCAGTATACAATGGATGAGAATTACTGCGAGTAGGAAAATGGACACTTTCTAAACTCCTTTTACAAGCATTAATTTTTACGACTCCTTTTACAACTTCTTGTTCAATGATCAGTGATTTTCAGCCTTTAATATGATATAGCATAGAGATATTATCCACAGCAGCGCAACATTAATTTATTCAATAACAATTAAACAAAAATAACCTCTGTACAACTGTCACCCAATTTCTTGATCATTTGCTTGAGAATACTCAGAGCAAGACTCTGTTCCTTCTTCGCCCAGAATACTTGCGCTTCCTCCAACTGCCACTCAGAGACTCCACAACTTGTTGAATTATACTGCTTAATTTGAAATATAGCCCTTTCAGGGAGCTGGAATAAAAATGAAACGTGGGAATCAACACTATAACTAGTAGCACCAGTGATATTAACGACAACAGCACAGCACCGTCAGGTAAACACTGAAATGCCAACCACAAGGTTTGCAGGTCAAACCTACAAGCAAGGTCGTCTGTACCCAGAGAATTTTAACCTCAGAATGTCTACGTAGGCTTGGGGTTGCTACGAGTCAGAATAAGTTTGTCGGCAATAGGTTTCTGGTTATTTAGGTTACGAACTTACTATTTTTCAAGAACTATGCTGAGTATTTCTCTGCCTGCTTTCTATCCCCACCCCACAAACCAGTCTGTCTACACGCACACATACACACACACACACACACATACACTCACTGGCTGGTTATCCATATACTGAGTTACATATCTTCTCATTTTGTAATCATGAAATTGATTTAAAGAAAATAAATGCCTTGCCCAAGACTTAAACCCATTTATCTAACTCCAAAACGAGAATTCGTAGACAATTATGCCATACAACAGCTTAATAATGATCTCTGTCTCTCAATATTTCTAAAGCACGCTTTCTTGTTTTCTGAGTAAAAAGAGGGAAGTCCCGCAATAAGACACAGTCTTGAATCCTAGTACCTGGGTATTCTGGAATGTTCGGGCCAGTGTGGACAGCTGTACAAGGTGCTTGGTGAGGATGTCTTTAAAACACTGCCTCTGGGCGCTCTCCATTGCCTTTTCCGTCAGGAGCTCCAAAACGACTGTGCGCAGAGCCATGATGGGCTCCTGGAAGCGAAAATCACTGTCCTTCAGGAGCTGCGAGTGCTTCTGCCACTTACCGTACACTTCCGAGAGCTGCCGCTCGGCGAGTGACCTGAAAGCCAAAGCACATGCTCACGTCAGCAGGAAAAATGAAAATACAGAACGCTATCGTGTGGGCTCTGAAACTTTATAATACAAATGAGTTTGGTTTTTAAAAATCACTTTATTGGGGGCTCATACAACTCTTACCGCAGTGCATACATACATTAATTGTATAAAGCACATTTGTACATTCATTACCCTCATCATTCTCAAAACATTTGCTCTTCACGTAAGCCCCTAGCATCAACTCCTCATTTTCCCCTACCCTCCCTGCTCCCCCTTCCCTCATGAACCCTTGATAATTTATAAATTATTAGTTTGTCATATCTTACACTGTCCGACGTCTCCCTTCACCCACTTTTCTGTTGTTCGTCCCCCAGGGAGGAGGTTATATATAGATCCCTATAATTGGTTCCCCTTTTCCACCCCACCCTCCCGGTATCGCCACTCTCACAACTGGTCCTGAAGGGATCATCTGTCCTGGATTCCCTGTGTTTCCAGTTCCTATCTGTACCAGTGTACATCCTCTGGTCTAGCCGGATTTGTAAGGTAGGGGGTCATGATAGTGGGCAGGGAGGAAGCATTTAGGAACTAGAGGAAAGTGTATGTTTCATTGGTGCTATATTGCACCCTGACTGGCTTGTCTCCTCCCGGCGACCCTTCCATAAGGGGATGTCCAGATGCCTATACATGGGCTTTCGGTCTGCATTCCGCACTCCCTCTCATTCACAATAAGATTTTTTGTTCTTTGATGCCTGATACCTGACATTTCGGGATCACACAGGCTGGTGTGCTTCCTCCATGTGGGCTTTGTTGCTTCCAAGCTAGATGGCCACTTGTTTACCTTACAAATAAGGTTTTAAAGTAACAAAATGGAAATGTCTAAGTAATCCTAAATTCGGACCAAATCTTAGAAACTACAAAGTGCTGTACGGTCAGATCTCTGAGATCAGTAAAAGGCCATGGATAAGGGATATTTTTCAAGATTTCCTAAAAAATACTGCTTGACCTTCGAAAAAGCATCCCTTCTAAACAGGTGAGGTGAGACTATGCTCACTTATAAAGTGAATAAAAAATGTCTATATTGTATGATAGATGAATTTTAAATCAATAAAGCTATTAAGACCGATTATAAGGAACTATATGTGACCACCTCCCTGGGGGACGGACAACCGAAAAGTGGGTGAAGGGAGACGTTGGACAGGGCAAGGTATGACAAAATAACAATTTATAATTCATCAAGGGCTCATGAGGGAGGGGATAAATGAGGACCTAATGCGGGGGCTTAAGTGGAGAGGAAATGTTTTGAGAATGATGAGGGCAATGAATGTACAAATGCGCTTTACACAATTGATGTCTGTATGGATTGTGATAAAGAGTTGTATGAGTCCCTAATAAAAAGATTTTTTAAAAAACTATTAAGAAAAAAAAAAGTGGCTATCCCTTTAGTCCTCCTTTATTAAGAGGATGAGTTGGCAAGGGAATACACTCATTAACTCTCTACTGTGCCCCGCAGGTGCAGAGGAAGACTATGAATAATTGCAGTGCAAAGAAATCTTCCTCTCGGGAAGGAAAAGCTGATGACTGGTAGAGGGTTCATTTTACCACCGTATTTACTAATGAAAGAGAAAATGTACACACACAGTTTCATGTGAACAGCATGCCTTCCAAAGATTCAAACTAACCATTTACATTACATTAGTAATACAATCCAGCCTTTCCATGCATGTGGAAGCAGACAGGAGACATAAGATAAGGAGGAGGTGGCTCTAGGGAAACCAAAGTACTCTTCATTGCTCAAAGGAGAAGGCAACAGGAACGCAGATTCATAGGAAGGCAAACTGTGATTCCTCCAGCAGGCGTCCTCCTCCTTTTAGTTTTGGGAAGCCTTTACACCCTCCGAACTATTGGATTGCCTAAAGAGCTACGCTGGTTAATTTATCTTACTAGACATTCAAACAGAACCATCTAAAATGTACCAATTCATTTAAATAACAGTAAGCCTCCTATGTAAATAAAAAATAACACCTTCAATGAAAAAACAACTGGTCTCGGGCGGCGCCGAATGGAGTAGCAAACAGTCGGTCAAGCAACATGCCCAAGTTTTATTGTGACTGCTGCGATACATACCTCACCCATGACTCTCCATCTGTGAGAAAGACACAGTGCAGTGGTAGGAAACACAAAGAGAATGTGAAAGACTACTATCAGAAATGGATGGAAGAGCATGCTCAGAGCCTGATTGACAAAACAACGGCTGCATTTCAACAAGGAAAGATACCTCCGACTCCATTCTCTGCTCCTCCCCAGCAGGGGCGATGATCCCACCTCCCCCCACTCTCTCGGGTCCTCCTAGCCCTGGTATGATGCCGGCACCCCACATGGGGGGACCACCCATGATGCCAATGATGGGCCCTCCTCCTCCTGGAATGATGCCAGTGGGATCCGCTCCTGGAATGAGGCCACCCATGGGGGCCATATGCCAATGATGCGGGCCCCCAGCCCGTCCTATGATGGTGCCCACTCGGCCAGGAATGACTTGACCAGACAGATAAAGGCAGAGCACAGCCTCTTTGTATCGCTTTCCTCTTCCTCGTACCCCTTCACCCGGAGATCTGGTGCTGCGACTCTGGATGTTTCCAACAGCACAACATGGAAGACCTGCTGCCCCTTTCTCTCAAAAAGAGAATCGTTTTTTGGAGTGGAGTAGTGGACAAAAAGCAGAACAAAACGATTTTTGTTTGTGACACGTGAAAATAAAATTAACTTTTAGTTAAACAAAACAACAAAAAAACAACTGGTCTCTCCAAATGAAAATCAATAAAAAGAATGGCAACACGTTATATGAAGGAATTTTTTTAAGTTTATGGAAAAATTCCATTATCTTTTTCATTCCATTTTTCCCAGGATCTGATTCAAGCCTACTACATTTACAAATCTCAGAATAGAAAGTAGCTGGATTCCCATGTATCTAGGATTCAGTCTGTGATAAGATGCTGTTTCACTGAAATGTACTAAGACAGTCCAGCTTCACACGGCTAAGTATTTGGAACAGGAAGGCCATGTTAACGGCTTTCTCATATAATTATGGGTCTCCTTCTCTGACTCCTCACTGAATCTGATGAAAGTTAAAAATTAAATTAAATTAAATTACATGTTGGTGTAATTTATACAGAAGCTTCCGCAGACCTCCTGAACAGATCTTAGGGAGCCCTAGAAGTCCCAAGAGAACTTTGGGATCCATGGCCTAAAACATAAGGACTGGTTCAGCAGTTCATCAAACCTTCCCTTGTTTCCCCATCCGAGAAAGAGTGGGCATGAGTCTTTAGGGATTTCTTGAGGTCTTCTAAACTCTTTCTCAGTTTAAAAAAATATGCGATTCAAAGGAAAGACCTGGATTTCTGGCAGTCAGAGCTGCCAATGCGATCATCACTGAAAGTAGAAAGTACTTTGGCTCTTTCTTCTCCGGCCCTATCAGTTCATCAGTGGCTTTTCTTCTCCTACACAATTTTGAGAAAAACAAAAACATTTTTTTACATCCAAATGTCTTTCTCTTCCTTTCCTTCAAAGAATATTCCAAAATGGATTTTTGCATATCCGTATTGTGTCCTGAGTAATTTTCTTTATATACTTGAGTATAAGCCAACCCAAATATCAGCCAAGGCACCAAATTTTACCACAAAAACTGCATTAAAATGTGCTGAAAAACTCGGCTTATACACAAGTATATACGGTATGCCCCTTTCCTCTTATAATAATGACTCAAAATAGCAGGAAAGACAGATCCTCTAGGGAGTCTCAAAATAAGTCTTTTATTTTAAAAATGAATAAGAAGCAAAGTGACTTTCTCAAGGTACCTAAGTAAGAACTTGGACCTGTAGCAACCTAACTGGTCTCACTCATTTTCCTGTATCACTGGATCACTTTCATCTCACCATTTTAACAAGCCCTCTCGCCTTAATACCTCCCTCAAACTGCCATTTACTGAGAAAAGCTACAGCAAATATTTACGTAACTACCAGTCACCAGGAAAAGACACTAAGGAATAAAAGAAACAAGATAACGAATGGTCCACATGACCTACATGCAATGCATAAAACAGAGTAGGGGACAATGTGCAGTGCCAAAAAAAAAAAAAGATTTACCATCTTGGGCTGAAGCAAGGGAAAACACACACTTAGGCTGATTTTTAGAACCAATTTTTTACAATGAATGTTTCAAAAAAGAAGTTTTAATAAGAACACACACAGACCACTAGGTTAATCAGTTTTTATTCTCATCGAGGAAGTGAACAGTTGGTTTCTACACAGGTTTTGTGTTTTAAAGCATTGCAACAGAAAGTAGCCCTGTAGCTCAACAGGTTAAGTGCTGAGCTGCTAACTGCAAGATTAGCAGTTCAAGCTCACTTACAGCTTCAGAAACCTCAGGGAGCAGTTCTACTCTGTCCATAAGGGTGACTATGAATCTGAATCAACTAATTTTTTTTGGCTTGTGTGTTTTAACAGAAAAGCTGCACATTGTTAGGATTAGTTAGGTTGGATGGATCACGTACCTTGAGAAAAGCTCTCCAATGTTCTCCAGCTCACCGATGGCCTGCAATCTGCTTAGAGTTGGGTAGAGTGAATATACAGACTCAAGGCTGCCCTTACACAATTCTTCCACTTCTTTCACTCTAGTGGCAGAAAAGAAAAGACGATGAAAACAAAGATGGGGCTTGTAGGGAGATACACGTTCAAATTTTCTGTTAAAGATGACTCATTATAGAGGGTTTGCGGTTGATCCAGAAACAATGAACATTCCAAAATAACACTGTAACCCAGTGGACACAAATCAGGCCTTAGAATCACACAAAACTAGGTCTACATCACAGTTTCACCATTCACTGGCTGTGTGACTTGCAGTGAGCGCATTACTGGATTTCTACGGGTCTATGGTTTCTCACTTTCAGAGTTCTTGGGAAGATATAAAAATACATATGGAAAGGACCTAACAGTGGCTGGCCACAGTGAGCACTTAAATGGTAGCAAACATTGTTCTGAAATAAAACAGTGGACTTATTAAGTCACTAACTACTGACAAACCCAAAGCAACATGAAGTCACTAGCGGTAAAATATCCTGACACATTATCTCATCTCCTCTAGGGGTTGACTATTCACTGCTATTTTATACATTACGCTGACAACGTGAAGAGAAGTCAATGTCATCAATGATTCAACATAGGAGACAAATGAAAAGATTCAGGAAACTGGCCCAGGAAAAGAATGGAGGACTTTCTTCAGAGGTCAAAGGGAAACTGACCTGGTGACCCAAAGGAAGTATTTCTGAGGGGAGGGCAGGGAAACGTGCTGGCTAGACAGCTCCTGCTCATTCTTTAACCAATGCAAACGCATTACACTGGAATTAGCCATCAAGTTTTAAGAAAAGAAAACAAGACATTAGGCACTAAAACAAAATGCACCTTGGTTTTAACAATACCTGGCATGTTTCAGACTTTCATAAAAGGTGGAAAACTCTCTGTCTCTTAGAGACTGCAGAGCGCTGTACAAGGATTCGTGGTAGCTGGTTCCTTCAATTCCTTTGCTGTGAGATAATTAAAAAAGATAAAAAAGGTATTGAAAAACAGAGATCCTAACATATGCATGTGCAAATAGTTTACCAAGAGGCAAAATTAAGTATTTTTTTATAAGACTGCCCCCATCACTAGAAACGTTGGGTAACAAATTCAGAGATATTCTGTGGGTCGTGGGTCCCTTCCAGAAAAGAAGGAAATTTCCTAGATATTTTGATTGCTCCTAAATATGGCATATTCTTATTGATTCAATGACCACCTACTATGTACCAGGAACTAAGAAACAGGTTCTAGATCAGTGGTTTTCAACCTTCCTAATGCCGCGACTCTTTAATACAGTTCCTCATGTTATGGTGACCGCCCAACCATAAAATTATTTTCGTTGCTACTTCATAACTGGAATTTTGCTACTGTTATGAATCCGGCGACTCCTGTGAAAGGGTCGTTCGACTCCCAAAGGGGTTGTGACCCACAGGTTAAGAACCGCTGTTCTAGATTATGGGGAACTATAAGTAGACAAACAGATCCGGTCCCAGGGTTCTCACTCACTATGTTTATGTTCTGGTTGGGAAAGAGGCAACACATTTTTCAGAAGATGACAATGGACATGCAGAGAAGGAAAACGGGGTAACCAAACAGAACAAATGGGAGGCTATCATACAGACGGTGAGCAGAAACAGCCTCTCTGAGAAGGTGGCACTACTAAACTTTAGCTTCACTGACAAAGAGTCATCCACAAGGGAACTGGGAAAGAAAGCAGGAGAAACACCCAAGGCCTTTAGTCAGGAACAACAGCTTGCTCTAATGGAAAACAACAACACAGACAAGGATGGCTGAAAGATAGCATTCAGAGGGAAGAAGGGCATGTAGGGGCTTACACAGGGGTAAGCAGGAACCAGCTCACATAGCAAAATGTTTTAAAAATATGTGCGCATATCTCACAACGATCTTACTGAAATCTGAAAGGCAGAGGTCTTACTGAAATCTAATAATTTTGATTAATGGGAATATTTTTTCATTAAAGGTAATTAATATATAATTAAACATGATTTAACTTTTTGTTTATACCATCAAAATACTTCATAAATATGAGATCATCTGTTAAGACTAGATCTTAGGCTTTCCATTCAGAAAATGTGGTGATCTTACAGATGACCTTTCTGTGCTACTGAGTAGCAGTTACTGTCTGTATATATACACAAATAAGTTATTTCATAAAGATAAGCGGTCCGTTGTGTACTATCAGCCAATAAGCGTTCAGACTAACGAAATGTTTGCAGCAGGCAGCCAGAAAAAGAATGCCGCTATTTTCCTTTGGAGTCCCGAGTCCAACAAGCAGAAAAGCTCGGGCAGGTTTCTACTTCCAAAAATATCTTAAGTGGGGGGTGGAGTTTCCCTACTGGAGGCAGAATATGAATTCACACTGAGGTGTATTAACTATTCAGTGCTACTTTATTAAATTAAGCCGTTAGGCCTACCTGTAGCTTGCAGCATCTGTAACAGATAAAAACACAATTCCTGTGACAATTACAAAGCAAGATAAAAGGCGTGTTTTTTACAACTAGGGAAGGTAGGAATTTGTCTGTTGATAAAACAAATGTCAGATTTCCTCTTACTTGACCGAACTGCAGTGGTCCCACTGCATGTTCCTCCACGCAGCTTGGTAATGCAGTTCCTGAAGCTCAGCACACGACTCTTTATTTTCATGATCTAATCCTCTTAAGTAGGTGGAGAGAATGTGGCAGAGTCCCAGATTCTGCAGGGCCTGCGCAGAAGGATTTTTATGAAGAGAAAACTAGAGAAATAAACACTGGCAATCCAACATAAAAAGTAACTGGGAAAAAAATCAAGTTTAGAATTTTGTTCAAGATCCCAAAATATTGTCTAGTATGTTTCCCCCAACATGTATACAAGGGTGCTTCATGGAAGTATTGAACTGACAGATGACAGGATTTTAAGAAACCTTTTGAAGCCCTCTTGTAAATAGAACGCAAACGTGTTAATGTGTTATATTTGACAGAGTAATGATTATGGCGTATGCTATTAGCTAGTGACAGAATTGACAGCTCCTGGGACTGACAATATTATAAATTATGAGAAACTGAATTCTATTTTCCAGGCAAAGTCCTCAGCACCTTGGCACCTGGTGCCCACACTGTCATGAAAGGAATGTCACCTACTGTTAGCTAACAAGACTGTGATCAGCACTTACACTTTATCTCTCCTGCCAAGGCTCTCGGCAACCTTTCTGTGTGCCCTGCCGAGCCAATGCCTGAAAAGCAACCACATCTCTGGCGTGCATCCCTGTGTAAACAGTCTCAGATTCCCACTAAGGATGGATTTACAAAAGCAGAGAAGGTACCTGAATAATTCCGGCCTGGCGAGTGGATGAGCTAATTGCTGTCTCAAGGTCATATGTTATCAGAGCTTTACCCCACATTGCCTCATGTTCATATGTTCGTATTCTAGAAGAAAAGATTTTTCAAATGCCTTTGAGTTCTACAGGCATTAATTCCTTCGTATACAGAATCATCTATACCAGTGGTTCTCAACCTTCCTAATGCCGTGACCCCTTAATACAGTTCCTCATGTTGTGGTGACCCCCCAACCATAAATTTATTTTTGTTGCTACTTCATAACTGTAACTGTTATGAATTGGGTGACCCCTGTGAAAGGATCGTTCAACCCCAAAGGGGCCGTAACCCATAGGTTGAGAACCACTGATCTATACCAGTATCTAGAAAAATGCAAATTACCGAGTGAGTGGTTGTAACACTTTTCCTCCACCACAACCATACAGGCTATCTGGCTCTCCTATGCTTCTGTAGATCTCTAGGAGAAGATCCTGAGCCGTGGAAACAAAGGGGGAGGGGGGAATAACACTTTAGCAAACTTGAAATCATATTACTCCAACATGTAACTCCCAAGTCAAAAGGTGATGCTTTAAAAGTGCAAGACATGTAGAAAACTTTCAAGTATGTTCACTTGGGAAGCCATCGAGAATCTTCAGCAGAGGAGTGATAGGAACAGAAGTAGACTGATTGTCAAGGATCACTCTGCCTCATACCTCGTCTCAAACGGGGAGTTAGTTGAAGTCACGGTGAGACCCAACTGGAGGCATAAGAGGAAAGGACTTATGTGTCTATGGGGAGGGGAATGTTTTTAATGGGACTCGTTTGAAAATGTTTACAATCATGAGAAGAATAAGTTGCGAGGGAGGATGGCATAATAACAAATGTAATGTTTCTGAGATAGAGTAGAAATAAAACAAAGCACAGGAAGAACTAACATTACATCCATGGAAAAATCACTGCTCTGCTTTTAACAAGAGGGAAGACAGATTGGGAGGAGCAGGGCGATGTCTGTCTGATAGTAGGGCATGTATGAGATCTGATTTATGGTTACTATGTTCCCCAAGAAGTAGGAGGTGAGCTGGAAACAAAGGCGGAGAAGCTAAAATTATTATTGTAGAAGAATATGATAACCAAAGGACCAAGTAAAAACGCCAGTGTTGGGGGTCAACTTGGTATCAGGCATGATGAAATTTCTAGCAGAAGCAACTTTCCCTGAAATGTGCCTGAAAATAAATACACATAATTATGAATCTTAAGTACTAGTTAAAGAACATGACCAAGGTGATATGGCAAGAAAGACACAGTATCATCTCCGGAAGAGGAACTCCAGGTTAGAAAGGGGGCATTGGCTTGGTTGCAGACCAAGTGCAAAGTCAGAGTCAGAATTAAAACTCTGGGTTGTGCAGCTATTCCAAGGCCTGCCTGCAAACCCTGCATGCATTTAAACATAAGACGCTGTGCCCAATATGTGATTTCAGTTTTAAAATCAAAGGATGTCTACATGATATTATATAACACTATTATCTTAAATAACAGGGACTCAGATAGTTACCTGTAAACTTATTCCAGTTTCTTCTTTACTCTTTTCACTCAAACTAGAAATAGTTGTACTTTGGCTTCCTTCTTCCAATGTAGGGCTCCTGTTTGTCATGAGAGTAACTCTTTTAATGAGAACATGCTACTTGATGTTTGTGAACATATACATACACTACAGACTTTGAAGTAAAAACACTAATGAAGGTCATAGAATAAACTATCTATATTTTTAAAACAGTATTATTGAGAATTAAGATGGGAATTCATGACTGTTAGTTATTGGAGCAATAATTATATTTTAATAATAACCTCCTATACAGGGGCAGGCCATATGCCAAACTATGCTTATCTATAGTGACAGGAGGGCAGTTTTAAAATACAGCAGTTTGTCCCCTCTCCCCATTCGGTCCCACGTATTCTGTCAGTGGTTTCATCTGAAGTTCAAGCTCATTAATAATCATAGACATGTAAATTAAGACCACTGTGAGATACCACTTAACACCCAATAGAGTAGGAAACATTAAGTCTGAATATTAAGAATTAAGGAAGTGAGAGAATAGGATCCACTGACTTCAAGATTATAAAATTAGTAAATGACAGAGTCAGGCTTATAACTCAGTTTGTATATTCCAAAGTCTCAGCTTTACACCAGGCTTACAAAAATGTATTCACTCCCCAAATAACACCAATTCTAAAAGCACGTGATAGCTGTGTATTGCCGGTAAAACAATAATCCATTGTACGAAATACACAGTATCATAAATAATGCTGTTTTTGTGTACTGTTAAGTGGGTTACAATGAACAGGGTAATTGATGACAGGGTAGACCCACCCCATAGGGTTTCTTTCCCAGAGTCTATGGTCTCTCTGGGAACGGAGAGCCACATCTTTCCTCCCGGCCTCTGCTCGCTTTGCACCACCAGCCGTACAGGCTCTTTTCATAACAATCCTCCCCCAAATCCATGGCCACTGAGTGGAAGAGTGCTTGTAGCAACCCTATACAGAATTTCCCAAACTGCTCATCTTTGGAGCAGGCAGCCTCATCGTTTTCCTGCATGGCTGGCTGGTTTGAACTGCTAATCACAGTACCATGAAGACCTCCAATATTTACCTGTAAGCTTACTCCAGTTTCATTACTTTTTCCACTCAAAACTCGAAAGAGCTCTATTTTGGCTCCCTTCGTAACGTGTAAGGAGCCCTGGTGGTGCGGTTTGTTAGTTAATGGACTGCTAACCACAGGCCAGCGATTCATCTTCTTCAGCCACTCCACAAAAGAAATCTGAGGTTTACCTCAGCACAGCGGTTCTCAACCTGTGGGTCGCGACCCCTTTGGGGGTCGAAGGACCCTTTCACAGGGGTCACCCGATTCATAATAGTAGCAAAATTACAGTAATGAAGTAGCAATGAAAATAATTTGATGGCTGAGGGGTCAGCACACGAGGAACTGTATTCAAGGGTTGCAGCATGAGGAAGGTTGAGAACCGATGGCCCAGAAGAACCCCGTGTACGGTGCCTATGAGTTGGAATCAGCTTGATGGCAGCGGGCTGCTTACAATGAAAGGCCTCCCACTGATCTATTTCCTTACACTCAGGCCAACAATTCATAAAGTTCACGGTCCACATCCTAGTTTGGTGAGCAGCGTCTGAGACCCCAAAAGCTTGCAGGTGGCCACCTAAGAAGCACCTAGTCATGTTTGTGCCAAGGAGCACAGGAGAATGACGAAAACTGAGGCCTCAAGGAAGCCTGTGTCCCAAGGAGCAGTGGCCCATGCAAATCACGGCCTCCTGAGCCTGCGACCCTGAAGAACGAGAGGGTGCCTGCGACCATGACCCTCCACGCTGACCAGGACCACAAGGGCGCTCCTGGTTGGCATGGGTAAGATACAGAACAAAATTCAAAATGAGCCAGTCAGTCCAGACATGAAGGAAATGTGGCGAGAGCTGACACATTACAGGGATTGCCACCAATGTCAAGGAGCAAGTAATGTACAAAACCTTGACTGGGAAACTAATTTGATATGTAATTATTGTGTACTGTTAAGTGGGTTACAATGAACAGGGTAATTGTTGACAATATGTAATTTACCTTCAGCTAAATTATGACCACATACACATTTTGGCCATTATTGGTAGTTTTGCTCAATTATAAGTGTCCATTTCTTTATGTACCTTTTTTTTAACCCTTGAACTCTATTTAGTGACATCATGTAATTTGGTCAAGCTCTGCTTACTATGTATGTGTACAGGCACGTAGATATACCGGTGTATACTTAAATATGTACAGACAGACATGTCTACATGTAATTTACCTTCAGCTACAGTGCGCGCGCGCACACACACACACCCCTTATGATTACAAAACCCATCATCAAGAATCCAACGAGAACCTAGAGACTGGGAAAGAATCTTAAGAAACAGCATTTTAAATAAATGCCTTATCTCCAATTTTTATGGAGCACATCAACAATTGAAACCAAAATGACAAACAATTTACTTACAAAATGGGCACAGGACATGAACAGAGCCTTCACCAAAAAAACAAAACAAAAAAATTCCAAGTAGTCCACAAACACATGGAAAGATGTTCCTGATCATTAGCCATTGCTGTTGTTGTTGGGTGCTAAAGAGGCAGCTCACACTTGTGGCGCTCCAATGTGCAACAGAAGGACATCTGTCCTGGGCCTGTGTCACCCTCACAACTACGTCTGAGCCCACTGTTGCAGGCACAATCCCTCTTAAGAATCTTCCTCTTTTTGGGTGACCCCTCTAGTTTTTCAAGCACGATGTGATTTTCCAAGAAGGGCTCTCCTGATGGGCTGAAAATACTTAAACCAAATCTCAGCATCCTGACTTCTAAGTAGCATCCTGGTTCTATTTCCTCCAAGACAGATTTATCATTAAACCAAATCAAATGAAACCCATGCTATCGAGTTGATTCTAATTCATAGCAGCCCCTATAGGGACCAAGTAGAACTGCTTCGCAGAGTTTTTGAGGCTGTAATTCTTTACAGAAGCGGTGGTGGAGTGAAATCTCTATTGCTCTTCTACACAAGTCACTAACTCCCATCAAATGATTGGTTGGGACTTTGAAAACATGGCACGTGTAACACTAATAGAGGGGACTAATCAGTTTTTGTTACCATACACCCTGGGTACAAGGATGAGCCAGCTTTGAAGCAGAGCAGAGAGAGCAGGGGCCATGGAAAGAATACATTGCAGATCTATCTGAAGTGGCAGAGGCTGGAACCAGAGGCCCCAGAGACTGTGGCCTGGAGACATGGAATGAAGCAGGAGGGGCAGGGCTGAGATCCTGGACTGTGAGACAGAGAAAGGAAGGCTTCCTGGCCCACAGAGGCAGAAGCCAAGGGACCACCTGGCTGAAAGGTTGAAGACCAGACTTGGCGATGGCTGCGGAGAGATGCTGCTGGGTAACAACAACTGCACTCTCACTATTTACTGATCCCGGCTTGTGATGACCTGTCAGCTTCCCTACTACACACCCACAACTCTGAGGACTGCTAATGAGTTCTGTGTGGCTGCGGCAAAGCTAGCATAGAAGCAGAGTGTCATGGGGAGAACGGTTGGTGTCCGAGTAGGTAAAGGCTAGAGCCTGAAGGCATGTCTGACACCTGTCTCACGGCCATAGGGAAGCCAGAGAGGTCAGATATGGCCCCCTGTGCCATTTAACGCAGAAGCAGATTGCCTGGTCTTTCTCCTGCAGCGTGGCTGGTGGGTTTGAACTGACGACTTTCAGTGAACAGCCCAACACGAAACCCACTATGTGGTCAGAGAGAAGCAAATCAAAACTACAAGATACCATTGAACCCTGGAGAAAACGGCATCCAATTAAAAACAAAATCGAACAAAAAGCCAGAACAACGAGTGAAAACGTGAACAGATTGGAACCTTTATCCATTCCTGGTGAGGATGTAAAATGGTACAACCACTGGGGGAAGTGACAGGACACTTCCTCAAAAGAGCCAAAATAGAACACCTTCAGTGCAGCAACCCGCGACCTCACTCCAAGAGTTTTCCCTTCAGAACTAAGAGCAGTGACACAAACAAGCACAAACAAGCTCATTCCAACTTTATTCACAATGAAATGAAATCCGCCACAGTGTCCATCGGCAGATGAATGAAGTGACCAAAATGTGGTGAGGGCATTCCCGGGAACCCTGTGCAAGCAGCAAGAACAAGACGAGTCTGTGAAACACAGCCAACCACGGACAGGCGTGTCCGCACTATTCTAAGTGAAGTAGGTCAAGCACCTAGGGACAAAGGCATCATCATCCCTGTTTTGTAAAAAGTCAATAACAGACATATAAAGAGATGAATGTTCAATAGTGGTTACTCATGGGAGGAGGAAAGGAGGGAAAAGCAAGCTCAAGGTCATAAATATTCATTTACGGTTCTGGGAAAGTTGTGCCACATGTGGTTCTAGTAAGCAGAGCTTGACCAAATTACATGATGTCACTAAATAGAGTTCAAGGGTTAAAAAAAAGGTACATAAAGAAATGGACACTTATAATTGAGCAAAACTACCAATAATGGCCAAAATGTGTATGTGGTCATATATGTATGTGTACAGGCACATAGATATACAGGTGTATACTTAAATATGTACAGACAGACATGTCTACATGCAAAGTGTAAAGATAGAAATGTTTGTGCAGGCACATACACAGACACTTCTCAGATAGAACCAAATAACCTTGTGAGATTCGTTTTCCACATTTCCATGCAGTTCACTGGCATTATACAGTTCACAAAGTTCATGTCCTGCATACTAGTGAAATGAGTAGTGTTTGGGGTTTTTTATAACTTCTTTGCACCCATCTGAGATACAACTACTTGTTTCTACTTATCAGAAGCAAAAGACTAAGATAACCAAAGCACAAAGAAGGAACAAGGTTAATAGCATACACAAATTATGATCTCACTACTGAGACCAGGAGAACTACGTGGTGCCCAGCTACCACCATTAATCAATCTGATTGGGGCCACAATAGAATATCTTGGTTTAGAATGGTAGAAAAATGCAGAACAAAACTGACGAACAAAACTCATATTCATAAAAAAAATGACTAGCTTCACCAGATCACGGAACCAAAGGAGTCTGTAAGATTATTGTTCTGAGATGTCCTTCACATATTTAATCAAAATGTCCCTGAAATCACAATTTTACAGAAAAGCAGAGTAACACACAAAATAAAGATTATCCCTTAGCTTGGTGCTCTATTGAAAAGACAAAAAACCTGTATTGAGTCCAAAAGGTCAACATGTATTCCAAAGCAGAGGTGAGAGGTAAGAGGGCAGGGAATCTAGAGTATTGAAATGGAACAAGCAGAATGCAGTACAATAAGAAGGCTGACACACAATGTGAAAAACAACCAATGTCACTGATCAACCTGTGTGGAAATCGTCAAAGGAGACTTTAACTTGTGTAAACTTTCACCTAAAGCACAATAAAATAAAAAGAAATACATGGAGTGTGGGGAAGGCAGAGTTTAATGTCTCAGACTATAGAACACAGGTTGTTGTTACTTCTTTTTACCACAGTGCAGCTGGTGGGCTCCAACCACGGACTTGTGGTTCGCAGCTGGGTGCTGAATCAATGTGCCACAAGTGCTACCGAGTCAATGCTGGCTTATAGCGACCCTACAGGACAGGATACAACTGCCCCTGTGAGTTTCCAAGACTGTAACTGTTTACAGAAGTAGAAAGCCGGGAGAGCTGGGGATTCGAACTGCAGACCTTGCAGATAGCAGCCCAACACATAACCACTACCCCTCGAGCTCTTCTAACAAATACTCAGTCAGCTATTTCAAATGTGAGTAGGGCAGTTGGGATAATAAAATAGGTTTTTTTGAACTCTTAAAGCTGCCTGGCTATTTTCATCTATGAACCAGACCTATAGTTAATAGATTCTTAGGAAAATTCTAACTCCCCTAACTCTGGGAAGAAAATAAAATTCAAGTAGCAATGAAGGTTGGAAAGAAGTCCTGGTGGCACGGTGGTTAAGTTCTTGACTCCTAATCAAAGGTCAGGGGTTCAAGCCCACCAAGCCCTCCATGGGAGAAAGCTGTAGTCTACGTATGGAATGATTACAGCCTTAGAAACCATACAGTGTGAGTTAGAATTGATCAACTGCAAAGAGTAAAAACACAATTATGAGATATCATAATTATGATATCAAAATTATGAGACTTCAATGAGTGATATTAACTCATTACTTTATAGTCAGTAAGTAAATCAGATCTTGAACAAAATCAGGAGTTTGTGCTATATCTAATTGGCTGAAATCAGGGAATCACTCAACCATTTGAAAAATATTCATTGATTACTTACATTAAGTTCTTAATACTAGCTGCTTTGGAGAACACAGAGGAAAAAATATGATCTCTGGCTACAAATAACTTGCTTTTTAATTCTTACAATTTACTGTAAAATTCTTATAATTCATAAACAATAGCTATCTTAATTAT